TGCGGCTCTAAACAACTTTTATTTGGTCGTACTCTGGGCAAAACGGCTCTTTGGATATGAAAGGTTGCAGACCCCTGATATAGAGGAAGAAAATGACAATGCAAAAAAAAAAAAAAAATGGAGAAAAAGAAAATGATCTATGAAAACTAGACAACGGTCATGATTGCTAACTAGCTGATTATGAAGATGACCGATGAATAATGATAAGTAACGCGTTTTTCTCCTTCGCTTCGTCCATGTTGTTTTGGTCAAAATGGGGACGAATCACCCGGATAACAGAGGTAAGGGGAGATGGTGTTCCTGAGCTCAGGCTGGAGCAGTCATGCCCCCTCTAAAGCTAAGGAACCACAGCGATAAACATGGCTAGTGGCCACTTTATCTTTGAAGCTGAAATTAAAACCTCCTGCAAAATAATTCAGGACTAAGAAGTCAAATTTGTTAGTGGATCTAAATATATGGGGACTTTTCCTGTGTGTTAGGGTTATTTTTATTGTTGATGTGTAGGCCTGTTAAACCCTAATAATAGCTGCCTGTTATGTGTCAAAAGTAACGTTTTCCCAAGTAGTTTATCTAATTAGGACAACTCCTCTATCCAGCTATACAGTTAAGTTCTTCATTATGTTGGTGGCAGAGATTTGGAAATGGAATGAGATCAGTGTCCTTGATCTAAAAACATGGTGTAATATTTTGATAAGGCTGCAGCCATGGATGTATCCTCATTTACAAACCTGTATGATGTAATCATGTGCTGATGTGGCATAGTGGAGATGTATAAAATACTTCTTTAACTGTGATTCAGGACCGTCTTCAACACGTAGCGAGTCCGGTTTGTAAGCCTTGCCATCTGTAACCCTAAGCAACTTCTCTGGACCAGGATTACAATTTCTGACTAAATCTGTTGTCCTGTCTTGTGTTTATTTGAAACATATGCATTATTAAATGTTATTTAAAAAGTTTGCCCAGAGGGATCTCTTCTCAGGAGAGACTAGGGGAGAGAAAGCTTAAAGGTTTAAACACAGAGCTTTCCTTAACACCTGGTACCAAAAGGTTCCTCCATGTCCTACTATTTAAAAAAGTTGGGTTCTTCTCCATTATCAACCCTAGCCATTAACATAGTCAGAACTATGACTAAATGTGCTCCTACCTGTCTGATCTCCTGCTCCATCCTGTTTGAGGATGCCTTTTGATTGGAGCAATGCATGCCAGGGTTTCTGTCATTCATCCTAATATTTCTGAGCTTAATCTTAAATACTAAGCACCAGTTTTGGATGTGATCAAACAAATAAATGGCTGTTATTAGCAGTTATCAGTTCCATTATATGCAGCTTATCATTAATAGGAGCTGCTTCCCCTGCATCTAAAACCATGCATTTTATTTACAACTTAACTACTTTATTCTCTTTATTTCTAATGATCCTACTTTGAAAAAAAATATTTTGAACATTTGAATGAGTTCCACGTGTTTCAGTCAATATGGATTTAATGTGGTTGTCATGATTGCGCCTCTGATAGCTGACCTATTTGCTAACTTCACTCACCTGCCTAACCCTTCCCAGTTACTACTTATCATTCGTCTTATCCACCTGCTCCTGCTGTTTTATATACTGCTTAGCCCAGCTATCGGGGCCAGATAATTGAGTTTATGTTTTTGAGTTCCACTTTGATTCCTTAGTTCATGTGCTCGTTCTCTAGGCCAGTAGTTACAGAGGGGTTTTGTCGTGTCTTGGTGTTACCTGAACATGTCCTGGCTCTTGCCCGCTGAGCATGCCCTGTTCCTGTTTTTGCTCAGTGGGGGGAAGTTGTTTAAAGTTCTATAGTCCTGGCTCTTATCCACTGAGCATTCACTGTTCCTGTTTTGGCTCTGTGGTGGGAGCTGGTTTATAGTTCTGTGGTTATGTCTAGTCATGCCTCTCAACTACTGAGCCTGCCTGTCTGCATCCAAACAGGTCTGCCTGAACTCTCTGTTGGAGTCTTGGAATCCTGAACCTGCCTGAACGCTATGTGGATTCCTGTAACCCGGGATCTGTCTGTTACTCTGAACCCCTGACCGGGCTACGGACTCCTTGATCTCCTGAACCGTCCTGTTCTGAACTGTTTTCCCTGACCTGGCTCGGACTTTTGCCTGTCCACTGAGGCTGCAGCATTGGGGACCCTCTGGAGCTGCTCCCGCCCCATCTCGTTGGCAGCCCATCGGCTGGACCCTGCCTCAGTCTGAAAGGATGGACCGAACTGTTAAACCAGGTTAGTGACACACATGGATAATCATCTTCCATCAGATTATGGTGCTCACTTACCTCTGTTTTTCTCCCTAAACCACAGTGCCTGTGAAGGGTGTTGTCCCGCCTCCCCTAGCAGCCGCTGCAGATCCACAGCTCATCAATCAGTTCTGTATTGTTTCTTTTTTTGTTTTGTTTTTTTTAATGTTTTCAATTTTCCACTGTCTGTCTCGCCTGAATACTGGGTCCTACATTCTGGTTTTATGACAGTGGTGTTTAAAAACAACTCAGTTGACAGGTTATAAGATTCTTTGTTTTTGGTTTGTGTAATATAAACAACATGCTGATACATTTTGTTTTACAATACTGAAACAACAACTAAAATGATGATGTTCAATAGACACATAGATTAAATAATTCTGCAGGCGAAAAAGGATTTACCTTACAACCTACTCAACCTACTCAGAGGTAGGAGGCATAATCTGGAGCCATTGTATGGGACTGCCAACCGCTGATAAAGGCCATTTAATGTGATGATAACATCCGAAGAC